GCTCGAGAGTGAGCGATAACCGGGGCATAGACGTTGTGAAAGTACACAGGAACGCCGTCCCACTGAGTTCGAACAACCATGTATCTTCCAGGTCGGTCATGGGTGGTCAAGTGTTGCAGGTCGAGGAATCCAGGCATGGATCCATGGAAATACGATGCCACACCGCAGCGCCGATTGTTGAGTGAGTCGACGCGATCAGTGCGGAGATCGTTGGTGAAGAGCTTGTATTTGCCAACGCCTACTTCGTTGTTGAGGTGGAGTTGGAAGGTTTCGAGATGTTTGATGTTATTGATTTTGGTTTCTTGAAAGAAAACGGCTTGGGTCGGAATTTGGAGTCGCCGCGCCACAAGATGTCCGTTGTCTTTCAGCCCATTGAGGTTGGCAGTGGTCAGTTCGAGTATGGGGAACTTGGTGAAGAGACCGGCCGCGACCACCTTAGCCACGGAACGCGACAGACGTTGCGTTCGCAACATCTCCCAGCATGAGTGTCTGAGTGTCGGGTTGGAACATCACTTGGTTGTCGAAGGTGGGGTCCAGGGAGCCAGCCTCATGGAATTCCAGGATCGTGGTCAAGACGTATCGCGACTTCTCGTCTTCGCCGGCATACAACGTTTCCATGATATTCCAAATCAAGAGGCCGAAGCTCGTGTCAAGCAATATGGCAGATAGCGATACGCCCGACAAACAGCGGGAGCCCAAATGAGAAGCCAGTGCAGTGACCGGGTACTTGGTAGAGGCCACGATCGCAGCATCACTGTTGTAGTACGTTGGAGCATGAATGGCCAAGAGAACTTCTGCCACAGCCAACACTTCTTCCAGGTCGCCGCGGTGGAGGGAAATCTCGTCGCCGTCAATGGTAGTATCGATGAAGTCGATGTTCTTGAATAGCTCGATGTTGCTGAAGATGGCTTGAACGTGCTCGCGGGTCATACGCACACCCCACGTCAATGAGTACAGCTGGGAGAACGGTTTGTCTCCACCCAAGTCGCTCGAAGCCACCGATGGAGGAGGCGTTGTCTCACAAAGTACTCAAAGCATGCACGGTCTTCATCAAAAAGTCGGTGCAGTTGCAAGCCAAATTCAATCGGGGAACGCTCGAGATGGCTACACAGCATGTCGACGCGGCCGTCGTTGATGAGTTGGGCAAGGTTGAACGAGCTGTTGGTCACTGCATCTTCGACTTGGGTTGAGAGATGCAATGGAACTTTGGCTGTCTTGGTGTCGAGGTCTTGTAGTTCGGCGAGAATTTCGTCAAGAGACATTTCTATGCGCTTGGGAACGCCATCTTGGATCTTGGTGCCGCCGACAAATTGACCGGACGTAGGGAGGTGGGGAGGGTCATCCGAGACGTCCAGCTTGGGTACAATCGTTGAGATCTTGTAATCGCCAAACTGAGCAACGTGTTCCTCGGGGTTGACACACACACGTTCGTCGAGGGCTTCAAACATGTTGGGCGAAATCCAAGAGCGGCCATGCTCGGGGGAATCCACTTGCTGTTGCGTCTTCTTGCGCTTGCCTCTCGACGCCTTGACGCCAGTCCACTGCGGAGGGTTGGCTTGCGCAGTTTTCCGACGTTTTGGCGCCTTGGGAGTCGAAGAAGGCGGGTTGGTTGGGCTGGGAGCTGGCTTGTTCAATCCATATTGGCGGGACGTTGCATCAAGGTCCAAACGAACCAAGTTCTTGTCACGAAAATACCACCCTTGACCGTACACGCGGAGACAACGGCCCTTGAAAAGAATTTCTTCGACGAGACGGCTGTCGCGCTGTATGGTCGTTGGTACGGAGGTTCCTTCAAAGTAAAGGCGGTACCGAGAGCTCGCCATACCGCTTGAAGAGGAAACGTTGGGGTAGGAGCCCCACAGGAAGCGTGGCTCCAACTTGGTCATGACGTCGAAGATCAGGCGCTCTTCGTCTTGATCTTGAAGGCCTTGAGGGATGTCCATGAAAAATCCGCCGAGGACGTGCGGAACGTTCATCGTGAAGTGTTGGGACGAGCCATCTCGAGCGACTTGAATCTTAAACGCGATGCCTCGCAGCTTCGTCATCGCTTCGTGAGAGGCAACACCCCACTTGAGCATGCGGTTCGGGATGTCCTTCTCGCATCTCACAATGTCAGCAATCGCAGTGTCGAGGCCGAGGGCTTGGTTGTCGAAAAGGATCGATGCCATGGCAGCTGAAACATCGATGGTCTTCGTGTGTGCACCCGTGGGCATCTGCAACCAGCCGACGATGCCGCGCGCCGAGTGCTTCTGGATCGGGAGGGTGTCTTCAAACGTGAGGGTTCCAGCAGCACGCTTGCGAAGGAGGGGTTCGAGTTCCTCCATCGTGGGCTGGTAAGGAGCAACGTCCTTGGTCTTGATGGCCTTGGCAGACTGAGACCGCTGTTGCGCTTGGAAGGCCCATACGTCGTTGGGGGCCTGGCGGTTGTTGGGTTGGCCACGGCCAGGTGTCTGGGCTCCGCCAGATTGAGAAATGTTTTCCAAATGCGATCCGGGTGAAGCCTGAGACGATGGCTGGCGGACTGAGTGAGAGTCCGAGTCGTGCGTCAGACCAACACTCAAGCGTGCGTCAGAGGCTTGGTCTTGTCCGGACCCTGTCCCATGGTGGACAGAGTCACACGTTTGACCTTCACTCGCGTTGGACTTCGAGAAGCTTCCATGGGTGACTTGGTCTTGAGTATTCCCATGACCAACACTGGCCACAGGGTTGTTCGCGATTGTTCCAGATCTTGCCCGATGATTCTTCGAGAAGAGACCATCACTCATGGAGCGACTAGTCTCGATGGGATCTTGACCTGTCGCCAGAGTGGACTTGTCGCTCGGGGGATTCTTCGAGAAGGGACCTTCACTCAGGGATGGACTGTTCTCGAATCTTCCTTGACCTGTCGTCATGTTGACGTCGGTGCTTGAGCGAGTCTTCGAGAAGCCACTATCACTCGTCGAGAGAACATTCTCGAAAGGAACAGAACCCAACGGAGTCTTGCCAGGCAAGCCACCATCACTCACGATGGACGTGGTTGATGGAGATTCTTCGGGCAAGGTCGTTGACGTCATGAGCACATCTTCCGAGGTTGGAACGCCGTCTTGCCAGGCTTCGTCGCAAGTGTCAGAGGTCGTTGGATCATTCGCGGGATCGCAAGCCTTCGTCGAGCGAGTCACAGGCAAGGGTTCAAAACGGCGCGGTTTCGAAGGGGTTGCACGTTGACGTGGAAACGGAACGCGCGTTGGAGTAGGGAGCGGATTCGTAGACGCGTCATGATGCGAAGCGTTGGAAGCATCGTCGACGTCCTCTTCCAACGACGACGCCATGTCGGTATCGCTTGGGGATGGGTCAGCAACGACGATGACGTCCATATCGCTGGGGCTGGACGCCGAGGGAGAGAACGCGGAGGAGCAAGATGGGGCACGAGGGTTGGTCGAGCGGGTAGCAACCATATTGTCAGATAGCGTAGAGTGGTACTGCGGGGTAGCTGGCAAATTGGAAACTATATCCTCTATAGCTCAATGTCAATGGGGAGTCTATTTGTAGTTAATGTAAACTACAAACTAATATTGCCCGAAGGCTCATCCCATTTCCAACTGCTAGGCTGAATTGGAAATCAATTTGGCTTTTCGTTTTCTTGATTCGCTGCGACGTTGGGACTTCGATTTCTTCGGTGTTTGTAAGCTAACACGGCGAATATGTCGGATAAAACTGACTCTTGGCATCTGACCCAGGGGGTATACATTTTCATTGTCTTGGATCATACATAGACTTCGGTCTATGCAGCGCTTGTATCGCTTGGCGAGGACCCAGCAATGGGATGTTGAATCAGTGACAGAAACAACCAAGAATTCTCCGTCAGGCTCATCCAATATCGCTCTACAGATATCACGAATTGGATCACCCACCGATTGCTTGAGCAGTTGACGGGAGAATATGGCGTCGTTGTAGTGGAATATCCTCTATAGCTCAGTTGGTAGAGCGTACGGCTGTTAACCGTAAGGTCGCAGGTTCGAACCCTGCTGGAGGAGTTCTTTTCTCTCTTTTGCATATCCCTTCCAACTTATCGACGTGATCGCAACAAACACATCCAACTCGCAATAGCTTTCACATCAAGTCTATAGAATGAGTAGCTTCTGACATCTTTGATTAAGACGCGAGGAAAGAATGGACACGTTTTATTCTGCTGTGCACCTTTTAATGATATCATTTGTCGTGTTTGTAAATATCTCAATACTGTAATTGAGACTATCTTCACAACTATTTCAAGTCTGTGTCATTTCTGCTTTGTTGGCGCTGTCAGTCGACAAGCCAAGAAACGATTCACACAGATGCATAACAGCAATATCACACACATATGCGACAGAACTTTCTCCAGAATATGTTTGGCAGCAAGCTGCATAAAATGGTAGGAATGTTACGATTGTGGTCTTGAGATGCGGTATATGGATTGATTTCGATCGATGTTAACGTCGTGAAAATATGTCCATGTATACCACCGAAATTTGACACAGTCCACATTGGAGACGATCACATTCTATGCAAAGAACAAGGTAATGGAGTGAGTACATCCATGTGCTATGATATTTCAAACCAAGTCAATGGAATACTTGTCTCTAGGTCGCTCTTGACGACCGTGATCCGTTGTCTAAGATATCAGTTGACAAAGTCAAAAAGACACCATATGTAGTGATCTCTCCTCAAGTCCAATACAAGCCAAGTTAGCGTGGCGCAAACATTTTGTTGCTGCCAGAGAATGGCTCATTTGCAGGTTTTCCCTCATGTATTTCTCTGCAATGACTTGCGCACCTTAGTCGTATGAGCAGCAACTCTGAGGCCATTCCACATCATATTGAAGCAACAAAGGACTGGTATTTGGCATCGGCGCCTGACATAGTCTTCTTACTTTACCTATATGTTGATACGCGAAGAAGACATGCCGTTGGAGAAATTACACGTCAGTATCTTCGTATTGGCTCTGTATCAAGTTACTGATATGCAAAAAGAGAGAAAGTAATCTCCGCAAGCAGGGGTTCGAACCTGCGACGCTACGGTTAACAGCCGTAATGCTCTACCAACTGAGCTATAGAGGATGAAAGTTTCCAATTTGCCAGCTACCTTGGACTACCACCTGTCCGTAAACTGACAACATGGCGACTACCCGCTCTTCCAGCCGTGCTCATGCACACAAGCCCTCAGCTTTTTCTGCCTCTCCCTTTCGCAATACCTCGGACGCTTCTAGTATCATGGAGGTGATTGTTGACGATGATGATGACGATGAACCTGACTCAATCATCGACAAAACTCCGCCTGCTGCTCAACCGCCCATACGTCTTGCTACACTCGGTGGTCGCGTGCCATTACCAAGCGCTCGTACCAGCGACAAAACTGTCAACAAGGATAATGTTTCTCCGATGCCTGATGAAGACATAGAGGATATCTCCAACAACAACCAACCACATACCCCACCGATTACTCAAGCCACTGAGCTGGAGCCGCGCTCTGAAGACCAATCGATTCGCGACACCAATGTTGATGTGGAAATGGAGCCTGAAGCTCAAATCGATGCCTCGCCTCCTGCTACAACACGCTCCGTGCCAATACCACCCGAGTCGAACACCTCGACCAAAAAGCCAAACGAATGCGTGTGGGAATTCCAAGCCAAGCAGAGAGCTAAATCTGCCAAGGCTCAGCGGAACAGTGACGTCGGCCATTATCGACCAACTATGGCCGAGCTGGCGTCCTTGTTGCAAAAACGCGCGACAGGATCTCTCGTTTGACGACACTTTGCCCATCCAAAAACATTCCCCAGAGATGTTGTTGGCTGGCTACAAATGTCCACTGGCCAATACACCAAATACATCGACATCTCCAAGGCAATGACATCTCTATTGTTTGACAACCAAGCGCTTGATTTGGACGATGCATTTGTCGATGTCATCAAGTGCGAGAAAGATGTCTCCAATCGTCTTCTCAAGTGGGGCATAGCCTCTGAAGATGCTCTTAAAAAGCTGCGTGGGGTATCTCTCAAGATCCAAGTGGCAAAGGATGGCAGCTCTCAGAGATTTGTCATGACTGAGCCCCATATACTTGATGGATATTTCATCGATATCCCATCTGGTCTCCAAGGACAGGATGAAGAACGTCTCATGTTCAGCATCATGTCAAAGCTTGAGCCGCGCTTTTGTGGGGCTCATACTCCACAGTTTCCTCGACGACTGGCTTGGCTAGCTCTCGTTATCGCTTGTATTTTGAAGGGACAGCTATACCCGAATCTATGCACAATGACGGTCGATCAATTGAAGAATTCATTTTCAAGGGTCGGTGCCTCCGCGTGTTTGGTCAAGGATGGTTTTACCGTGACAAGAAGCTCGCGCGCCTTGACCTCGATGTAATCGCCACCCAACATGGACTTCACGCAACCCCTCACCGCCCACGGGGAGACGCCGCTGTCTCGACATCCACTGCCAAACGGCAGAAAACGACCCGAGACAGCAACAAGGAATGGACTGAAGTTCAAACTACAGGCAAAAGAAAGAAAACCCCAATCTCCGCTGGCTCAATCCCAGCTCCTGATCGTCCTTGGATCTCCCCGAACATGTTTGCGGCTCTGGACGAACGCGCTAATGTTGAGCCCGAGGAACACGAAACGACAGTTGGCAACACCACTGTCAAAGTAATTGTTCCAAAGCTGACACTCAAATCTGGTGACAAGGTGCACGTTGCCGCTGAAGAGTTCATTAGCGGGATCAAACCCCACGAGGGCTCAATCCAAAGGTTTGAGAAGTCTCTCGATGCCATACTTGCCGAGCTCAACGACCTTGACACCAAGGCTCAAAACGCACCACAACATATCCCGGCCCAAGTTAAGGAAGCGTTAGCGCACGATTCCTTCAACTTATTGAAATTGATTACGGACGGGCGTGTTGACACGATCTGCATCCATCTAGAACGTGCGCCAATCGAATTTGGACTGCAACTGCACCAAATTTTTGTCTCCAATCGTGACAGCTTCGAATACTTTGTTCGTCTTCGACTGCTTAATCGTTGGCTAAGAGCGTCTGGTGGTGGCACAAAATCTTTTGGTCAGCTCTACGAGGCAACATTCGGCACTCCAATCACTCACGACCACGTGATCTCGGTGTTCAGTGACCAGAAGATGGTCAACAACCTCCCACTCATCGAGGCAATCATCACCGATGATGACATCGTCCTCAACAGAGTTGAAGTCGAAGAAGTGCTGGCCATTGCAGAAGTATTGATGGCAGTTCATGCTCCACTATATTTCAATAGCGATGCGGCAATTTTGGCCTCAACAAAAAGTCCAGTGACAGCGTTACCCTCTCGCCTTGGTAAACGCAGTCTATCCTCCGAAACGCTCATGTCACTCCTGATGTACACCGACCTTGGCCTCCACATATGGAACAGAATGGAATTCATGTACACTGGCGACGGAGAATCGATGTGTCACATCATGACAAAAATCCTTCAACTACACGAAAGCAACGATTTGGATATCACTCTCCACAATCAAGTCATGTTTCACCCAAGCGAACCTACTTTAATTCACGGCGACCTAGCGGATCTCACAACGATCGCTTCCCGTGGCTAAAGTGGTCGCGGCTGGTCATTTTGTCAAGCTCCCCATACTTGAAGTGACGACGAGCAACCTCAATGGGCTGAAAGAAAACGGACATCTTGTTGCACGGCGTCTTCGGAAACCGACACAAGCTGTTCTCTTTCAAGAAACGAAACTCAACAACGCAAAACATCTTGACACTTTCCACACTCACCTCGACAACGAAGTGGGTGTTAGCAAGTACAAACTTTTTACCAACGACTTACGAACAACCCGCACGGACAATTTGAACAACCGTCGATGTGGCGTTGCATCATACTTTCACGAATCGATGCCTGGATTCTCAAGCCTGGTGCACTTATCACAACACGATATCCCTGGCCGTTATATTGTGATCAAAACGTACTGGGATGAAACCCCAGTCTACATCCACAACATCTACGCGCCAGTTACCCCTCAACATCGGGCTAGTTTCTTTGACAGTCTCCCTCGCGCTTTTGAAGCTAACAGTGTACACCTGGTTGGGGGAGATTTTAACCTTCCTGTCAACGAACACCTCGATGCTTCCAAACCACGGCAAGATCACACCTTTGGAAAAGTCGAATGTCTTGCCTGGCTGTCACAACTAGGAGTCATCGACGCGTGGCGCCTACACCACCCTCACGAAAGACTGGCAAGCGGTCCAGGACGAAGCAATCGTCTGGACTACTGGTTCATTGACCAAGATTTAGTTGCCCAATCCTACCAAAGCTCAAAATATGCCACTAACAGCTTTGCCGGAGATCACTTGGAGCACACTGTCGTTCTCTCTACAAGTCATACACCCACGACCCGTGGCTACTGGAGGCTGCCGAGAGAGCTACTCAAAGACCCGCTCGTCATCAAAGCCATACGAGAAGAGGCATCACACCTCCTCTCTGAGATGCGTGCGGACGAATCGACAAACATGGGAGCCGTCTGGTATGGGTGGCTTAAGCGAATCAAACGACGTTTACAACAATGTCATCGCCACCACCTCCAATCCATGCAACACGAGCTCAAAAGCCTAAAACTGAGACATATATCTGCACAACGATCATACGAAGCTGGCTTGCTCGACGAGGCTGCCGTTGATGCTACTCGGTTGGCGCTGGAAAACGCAAGAATCGAATATCGCCAATACCGCATGGATCAGCAATTCGATTTTCATGCAAATGTCAACGAACGCGGTACGAGCCACTTCTTTCGAAGGCCACAAGGACTCAAGGTTCCTATCACGACGGTCAACGTCGATGGCATTCCCGTGTCTGATCCTACCACTATCAAAGAGAGATTCACTGCCCATTGGAAGGCAATAATGACTACCACTCGTGGCGAACAACCTCGGCTAAACCGGGCGAGGCGGAGGGCTGTCATACGGTTTATCTCCCGCAAACTCAATGATGAGCAACGCGAGGAGCTAGACAGACCTATCACAGCAGCCGAGCTGTGTAGTGCTCTCAAGACAATGAGTCCAAACAAGTCTCCTGGTCCTGATGGATGGCCAGCGGCCTTCTTCCAAGTAGCACCCGAGGCTTTCTCCGAAATCCTGGTCAGGGTCTTCAACTACCAACTTCACCACCACGGTAAACTACTCCTTCAACAAAGGCGTAGTGCTGTGGCTCTGCTCTTCAAAGCTGGTGATCGAGGCGATCCTGGAAACTACCGACCTATTGCACTCATGTCAGTGGAGGTGAAGATACTATCCAGTGCCCTCGCTTATCGCCTGGCTACAGTAGCTCCTCATCTCATTCACCCAAGTCAAGCTGGCTTTGTCCCAGGACGACGGCTGCATGACCACGTCCTGCTTGTGCAAACTTTGCAAACGTTTTGCACCAACGAAGATCACGACTACTATGCAACATTCCTTGACTTTTCGAAAGCGTACGACATGGTGGATCGAGAATTCATGCTTGATGTGCTGAGAGAAGTCAACACTGGTGATGGTTTCATTGCGTGGGTAGCTCTTTTGTACGACTCACCTTTGGTCCAGATCATCTTCAATGGCGAGCTTGGCCCTAAGATCCGACCTACCCGAGGCGTCAAACAAGGCTGTCCTTTATCATGCCTACTGTTCGTCCTATACCTAGAACCTCTTGGTGAGATGCTCCGAGCGTCCCCACATCTTGGAATCGCTCTCCCCACGACTCAGTTATTACGAGTATATTCTTTGCCGACGACTCGACGTTGTTATAAAACTCGCTGCAATCTGCTGTGGAGCAAATGGCAATTGTGGAAGAGTTTTGCACGGCTTCAGGGGCCCGTCTGAATCGTTCCAAGTGCATGACCTTGGTTCTCAACGACCATCTCGATCAAGAAGACATCGAAGCAGATGGTTTGCTCAATATCGTACCAACTGGTCAGTGTACGAAATATCTTGGTATTCTCTTTGGCCATCGACTTTCGGCTGACTCCCAACTTCAAAAACTCAACGACAAATTCATCTCGTCCTTTCAACTATGGGGTAAACGAGCAAGGACATTGCAGGGCCGAAAG